TGAGTTTCTGAGTTTACTGTTGACAGGACGGCTTCGGAAGAGGGTCAAAAGCTGAGTAGGTACAACAGAACATGTAAAACCGCGGTGGTTGCTGCAATTTGATGCAGTGAGTGGGCCATGCAATGGAGACTTCAAGGACCTCAAACGAGATCACGGGATTTGCAATTTCATATTAAGAAAGCATGTGCCGGGCTGTCTGCTCGTAAAATGCATCAAAGAACCCTTCACTTCACCCAAAGATTCGACCCTGGATCTGTGGAATTTGGGGCCAGAATTTAGACCCCTGTACATAAATAGTTGTAGGGACCCCCAAAACACGCCCAACAAATTTGGGAAACCTTAATCCCGTAAACCATTCCAGAATCCCGGTTTCCATCTGGTTTTGGATATGTTCTCATTCGCTATCCCTAAACTCCAATGCCTAAAGCCTAAACCCTGAATCCTGAGCCTTCAATATTATGAAGCCGGCGCAAGTCGGTCATCGGCTAGGGAGACGGATCGCAACTGCAGGGTCACTGCCCAGGGCTCATGTAGTTGCATCGCCTCATGTAGAAGCCTCAGCAGGCTTGTATTCATGTACTCTAAAAATACTAAATGATTTAATATTATATATATATACGTATCTAATAAAAATATACTAACATATAGTACTTGGGTTTAGGGTTCAAGGCCTCCTGTAGAAGCCCTCAGGTTTTAAGACATCGTCCTAAGGGCAAGACCCTAGTGACTGTGAGGTAATCGCCTCAGGGCCCTGGTTTCAAAAACCTTTTTTGTTCAGATGTGGTAATTTCCCAATATAAGGGGCCCCCAATATAGACCCCAAAATACTATAGTCCTTATTACTGGGACCCCCAGAATGGTACCCCTAATTTTGGGAAACCCCCATGTGGAACTAGGGTTTAGGGTTTAGCGTTCTTGGAGAGCCTATGTATGCTGTAACCCTAAACCGTAAACCTTTCATCCTAACTCCTGAACCCCCTTCATTTGAACATCTTTGGCCAAGGACCTCAGCAAGGGCAAAAACACAAAATCCTGAAACCTCCAATGGGGACGTGAGTATAGTAGTAACCGTTATCATCGGCAAAGGACGATAAGGTGCAACATGCAGACGGGCTACATAAGATGCTAGATATTCTACTACACTATGAAATCAATAGTCGAATAATAGACTATAATAACATATTAGGCACCGAGAGCCCGGCACTCATGATCTGCAGGGAGCAGGTCGTTCGACCTTCCAATCTCTAACTCCGCAATGCCTCGGTCACGGGTCGTATCATAGGCTCTGGAATAAGTAAAACTAACAAACGGGAAAGTCGGGTGGGGTAGAGGTGGAGGTTGGTCAGGGAACGCATGAGTGTTGGGCTTTGGGGTTTAGATTTCAAATAATCAATTTTAAGCAGTGGTTGAGGATCTAATGCCAGGCAATCACGATCAAAACCTTGGTCTGTGAAAAAGCTATTATCCTTTGGGTTAGGAATAGTGGTACACTAGGAGCATATAGAGCCCCTAAAATAATTACTAGTCTCTCTTGAGGGCACTTTTCCTAGCTGGGGACGCTCAAACTCTATGCCCTACACTATGTAAACCCAGTGTCCATTTCCTTTTCCATTTTTTGCATTTGATTCTCCATTATTGGGGCTATATTATCCGAACCTAAGATAGCCCTACGTCTGAAGCCCGAAGGCCTGAAGAAATTCTGAGGTAGCCCAGCGGCTCATCATGGGAGTGGAGTGAGAACGCTTCACCGTTCCGAACTCTGAGACGTAGCCTGAGCAGGATTTAGGATTTAGGCCTTAGGGTTTAGGGTTGGATTCTTCAATGTTTCCATACTCTTTCAATTTCCCTACATACCCCCCTATGAGCCCCCTTAATATCCCCTGCAGTATTCCCCCATATTATATATTCCCTTATACATCCTTCTCAAAAGCACCCTACTGACTATTCGGGAGTGTTTGAGAATTACCTACCTACTGCAGCCATCTGCAGCTATCTGACTACCTGGGCAGCAGAACCGCCCTAAGCCCAGTCCAACGGGTCGCAGAGTTATCCCACCTGAGGGCTTCAGGTTTGGAGTTCAGGGTTTGGGGCTTAGGGTTTAGGTTTTAAGGTACAGGGCCTAGGGTTCTGCCAGCATGTCTTCGCCTGAGCTGTGACTAGCAGAAAGACTGGCACAGGAAGACTGCACAACTTGAGCCACGCAATAGGTTCCCCCTAATCACCTCCTTCTAGCAATGAGCCTCTACCCCATAGTCATAAACATTCTCCCTCTATATAATGGTACTGTATCGGGGGCGATCACAATGCTATTCTTCTTTTATATGTCATTAGACAACAAGTGGTTACCCTCAGTATCTGGCCGGGCGCATGGTGGGATGGCATGACCGTTGTCAGCGGTGATCTGCTGTGCTTGTGGCTCGGATTTCCAGTGTCTATGCGGCGACAAGCCATTGAAAGGTACTTTCTGGATCACTTCAAACCCTAAGCCCCCTTCTTTCACAAGCCCTGCATCCTGGAACCACCCAGCACCCTGAGGCTCTGCTGCAAAAGACTTACTCTATAGTTGTCCTTACCTCGACAGAACCCAACAAACTTAAACCTTGCTAAAAATCCTATCTTAGGTAACCCAGCAATCAACTTAGGGACTTCAAGGATCCCTCTTGTATGCCCATTTCAACCTAGACAGTCCACACCCTCAAGACCTGCACCCTGAGCCCTGAACCCTACAACCTACACTTTGCACCCCGCAATTCACACCCTGAATCCCCCCCCTAACTTACTCGTTATACTAGTAGGGAATGGTTATACCAGTAGGGAATAAGGGAATATAATCCCCATAACTCCTATATAATATATCCCTTTTCCCTACTAAGCCCCAGTCAGACCCCCAACTCTAAAACCCTAAATTCTATTCCCGTATTCCCTACTAATCCCCAGCAAGCTAATCCCCAGCCGTGAGGCTGCTCTTCTCCGGTGGGCCCTCCCACTTGGAGATGAAACCCAAGTTGGGCTTCGGAAGCAAGATCTGGCCTTCAATGTCTTTTAGGGTTTAGGGATTTGTTGATTTATCTGAGATTCAGAAGTTTGGGGTGTTCAGAGTTTCGGTGTGGAGGGTTGGCGCAGTGCTTGAGGTTTAAGGTGCAGGCTTGAAGGGCTTCTGGGGACGCATTGTCTAGACACTCAGAGACCCTACATGCAAACCCCCTGGCATGGGGCTGCTTCCTACTGCTCTTGGCTGACAAGAATGATACCAGTAATGAATGGGAACAGCGCAAGGAGGAGTAGTCGCGGTAGCAGCAGTAGCAGGGTGGCGGTCGCAGTATTACGACCAATGGCTGCTAGCGATCGTACCAGTGCTAGTCCTACTACGACTACTAGTGGCAGTGATAGCAGCGGTGGCAGTGATGGCAGTGGTGGCAATGGTGGCAGTGGTGGCAGCGGAAGCAGCGGCGTGGTGGCGGCCGCCGCAGCTGGTAGTGTAGCGGCTGTTGTTGTGATGATTGTTGTTGTTGTTGTTGCTGCTGCTGCTGCTGCTGCTGCTGGTGCTGGTGCTGGTGTTCTTGTTGTTGTTGCTGCTGCTGTTGTTTAGTGGTAGCGGCAGCGGTAGTGGTATGAGTATCAGCAGCAGTAATGGCAGCAGCAGCAGCAGCAGCAGCAGCAGAAGTCGTCGTCGCAGCAGCAATAGTAGCAGTAGAAGAAAATGGTGATGGTAGTGGCACTGGTGGTAGTACTCCATCACAAATACTAGAAAGGGGAGGCAAGCACGAATACAGGGATACGGCCTGCTTTCGCCAAATCCTGGGGGTGCGCGTGATAGCTGACCTTGGCTCCGAGTTCACTCGAAATGCGGGCTACATAGGGTGATGCTCTGCAGATGAGACTGGGACCATACGTGGAGAAAAGGGAGCGAATAGCAAGTGTATAGGAGACAGAGGAAAATACATAATACAGCTATGATGTAGGAATCATGCTTTTGTGCTTTTGGAACATCTCATCCCTCATTAAAATCTGCTGTCCTAAGGATGCCAGTATCTTGCGAAATGGGCTTCTGTGCAACAGGGTTCACCCAACAATCGCTGAATGGCTGGTTAGAGTGGGAACGACATGCGTGCACTTCTGTGCTGCTTCACATTCTGCTCCATGTCCAGTTGCTCTGGGCCACAAGTAAAGCTCCCCCTATAATACCCCCTTGTAAGGAATAGCGCAGTTGGGTCCAGGTCTTATATCAAGCCCAGATGCGTGTGACAAAGGCCGTGTCTCCAGCAAATCTGTCATACCTCCAGGGCAATGTCGGTAAATGGGCAAAGTAGCTAGGACACAGAAGAGCTGCAATAACTTTCTGGTGTAGTAGAGTCCGTGACAGCAATCTTGTGAACCCAACCAATGTGGTTTTGTCAGAAATGCATTTGCAAGCAGGGGATGGCTTAGTTTATCACTTTGCCCGAACAATCGTGACTAAATCCCATGATTTTCCTTTCCATGAAGTCCTGGGTGTAAGCAAACATGTGCTACACCACACAACCATCTAAGCGGTTCCTAGAAGGAAATGTGGGAATCTACTATAATGTTGCACCCGCTTTTGCTCGACTACCCTTTCTTGCGTCAAGCTTCGGGGAAATTTTTCAGGACCAGCACATGTTTGGGGCACCCTCTATAATGCCAAGTTTTGGTGGCCAAAATAAAAACTTTGTAGGTTTGAAGACATAAAACATCTAGTTTTACTTGGTGATAGCTCAGATGCAAGCTGCTCAATCTTTGCTATACTAGTACTAATACGAAAACTAGTACTAATACGACTAATACTTATACCATTACCTATACCATAAGGATTCAGATCATACCCTCAAACAATTTTGATTCAGGACACCCTAAATTTTCTGGGAGGGAGGGGGGACCCCCCATACTAAAGAGGGTCCAACATTGTAGAGTTAAGAAGGGGTAATACTAAGAACCACTAAGCCATGCAGGCAGGAACGAAGATATGGAGGATTATGTGTCGCCTGTGATGGTGTGCGTGCGGGCATTCGTGGGCTTCACGCTCTTCATCTTCGCTGATCTCAGCCGCTTGCCGGTGTAACCTTGGATTGTGTGCAGTGCCTACAGAATTGCAACTTCGATCGCACCAGCAAGGAAGTACCTGCCAGAAGTACCTACATACCAAGGACGAAGCATTTGGGGAAAATGGCTCAAAACTAAGCAGTTGGAAAACGCATGTCCCCAATTGGCAGAAAATGCTCTGGAAGCAATCAAATCTCAAAGCCATCTTGCACGCTCTTCCATGCGACCACGCCGCCTTCGAAGGTGTCCTGGCAGCATTTGTACTCAGCACTGTTTGCCAGGACAGGTCAAAAACCTAAACCCCCTAAACCCCGCAAACCTAAATCCCAAACATCAAACTCCCTAAACCCTAAAACCCTAAACCTCCAACCCCTAAAACCCTTAAACTCTAAACCCGAAACTGTCCAACCTGGCCTGGTAGTAGCTAGTCTTCGGCATTTCGGCGGCCGACCCCGCAGCGCTTCCCTTCCAACCGGCCTGCGAGTGCCCTAAGGTTTCTCTATGTGGGCTTTAGGGCTTGAGGATTTAGGGTTTTAGGGTTTAGGGCTTTAGGGTCTTAGGGTTTTAGGGTTTTAGGGCCTAGGGTTTATGGTGGTGGTGTATATATATATATATAGAGTATAGAAACATGTACATAGAGAGAGAGAGAGAGGAATTAATTATATAGGGTCAGGGATTTGGATGATTTAGTGTCCATAATCCTCAGCTTTTGCAATTTCATGGCTCCTGGTAAAGCTGTAGGGTTTCTACGAAACCAAAACGGAATAAATTGGGCATTCAAGGTGTGCATGAAAGGAAACTCATCATAGAGCAATGTCCCAAGGAAAATTAACAAAACATGTTCAGACCTACCCCACTTAACCCCAGCTTCCATATGATTTTCCATGTTTGTTTCCGTTTGTTTCTCCACTATAGAAGTACTATCCCTAAGCCCTATACCTATATGGTAGCAACCAAATATAGACCCCAGAATAATATAACCTTACTCCAGGGACCCATAAAAAAAAGGTACCCCTAATTTTGGGGAACCCTAAACTGTAAACCCTAAACCCCAAACAGTATATAACCTCTATGTAACCCCTATATAACCCCTGAATAACCCATATATAACCCCTGTATAACCCCCAAATAACCCTTAGATATCCCCTGCATAGCCCCTACATAACCCCTAAATCACCCCTATATATCCCCTACATAACCCCTACATAACCCCGGTATAACCCCTATATAACCCCTACATAACCCCTGTATAACTCCTAAATAACCCTACATAACCCTTATATGGGCCATAGTCTAAACTCCTAGTATTCCCCTTAATAACCCCTAACAAAATCGCCTGTATAATCCCCTATAGAATCCCGTTTAAGGAGTTTGGACTATAGCTCATATGGCCCTTATATATTCCTAGATATATTGCAGTTTCCATTTCATTTTCTATTTTCTTGTCCGTCTGATTCTCCACTCTTAGGGTATATATATATATAACAACCCCAAACCCCTTAAACCCCTTA